CCACCAGGTCCAGGACTCGAACCATAGTCGGCCATGTAGGAGTTCAGCACCCTTAACCACCATGCCACCTGCTGGCCCCACTGTGTTGGTTTTTATAGCATCCTGAGGCTTCTCCTTTTTTTTTTTTCTGGAGAGGGATGAAGTTCTTTGCAAGAGGCATGTTTTCATGGGGAGGCTGTCACAGCCAAAAAGGCTTGAATGATTTTAAGTGGTATTGCATTTTAAATTTTGGCCTTTGTGTCTTCATTATTAGTATATAGAAATACAATTGATTTTTGTATGTTTATCTTATATCCTATAATCTTATTGAATTCACTTGTTAATTCTAGTAATTTATGTGTAAACATAATCCTTGGAATTTATAAGAAGACAGTTATATCATCTAAAAACAGGACAGTTTTATTTCTACCTTTGAAATTTTTATGCCTTTTTTTTCCCCTTTTCTTGGGCATTGCACTGGCTAGAATTTCCAGCACTATGTTGAGTAGGTGTGAGGAGAGTGAACATCCTTGACTGTTTCCAATTTTGGGGAGAAACATTCAGTCCTTCACTACTAAGCATGTTAGTTGTGAGGACTGGTGCAGATGCTTTTTGTCAAGTTGAGGAAGTTCCCTTCTAATCCAATTTTTCTGATCATTTTACCATGAATGGGCAATAAGTTACGTAAGCTAGTGCCACATATGTTATATCAACTTTAATTACACTTACTTTCATCTGCATTTTTCTCCCATTTTCTTTTATTTTACTTTTAACTTTTCTTAATTTGTCAGTGTATGCATGTACTTCTTCATTTCTTCCTCCTTTTAGGATTTCAGACATACACATACATGCACCCAGTGTATTTTCTTTTCTTTCTTTCTGAGAGGTTTTTTGTTTGTTTGGTTTGTTTTTTTCTTTTGTTTGTTTGTTTATTTATTTATTTATTTTTGCTATAGGGCAAGTTCACTTGTCAGTGAGACAGAGAGAAAGTGAGAAATCACCTCCCAGGGGGGAATGCCATGCTGTAATACCTGGTCCTCCATTTTCCTCATGCACATGTGTCTGGTATGAGTTTCAAGTCACCAGGTCCGGGACTCAAACTGCAGTCAGCCATGTGAGAGTCCAGCGCTTTAACCATTGTGCCATCTATTGGCCCCTTCGGCATGTTTTTTCAAGCCTTGGGGTCCAGGCCTCAAACTGTGCTGTCAGCCACGAGGGATCCAGTTGCCGTAACCACCACATCACTGGTTGGCACACACCTGCCTTTTCTATTGTTTGTCAAATGGGCTATAGTCTTTCCATTTAACGTCTACAAACATCTTCTGGACTCTATGTCGTACATTTACTCTCTTGCTATCTTCCAACATAAAGTGATACTATTTCAGCTACTTAAGCATTTACCTTATTTTTTTTTCATTTTCAGATTTTTTTTTTTTTTTTTTTTTTTTTTCTTTAGGGGG